TGCTTTCAACCTTCTGCTTTAGCGGCTGTCCAACCTCTCCTTTTGGAGAGCCCCTGAAAACCAAGGGGCGAACCAGCTGTGGCTTGAGTGACCAGAGCTGTATTCAGTAGTCACCTACATACCCAAAGGAGGCTAGATCCTGTCTCATCTTGGAAGCTAAGCAGGGTCAGGCCCAGTGTTCCTACTTGGATGGGAGACTGCAGAAGAACACCAGGTGCTGTATGGAGGCTGTGTTTCAGAGGTGGGAACAGGCAAAAGACCCCCTGAACATTCCTTGTTTAGAAAACCATATGAAATTCATGAGATCCTCCTAAGCCAATAGGCAATTTGAAGGTACATACACACTCACTCACTAATATTATGGTACCTATAGGACAACTGTTATTTTGAGCCAAAGTGGCATAGTGGTTTGAATGTTGGACTAGGACTCTGGAGATCAGGGTTTGAATCCCTGCTCAGCCATGGAAACCCCATAGGTCACCTTGGGCAAGTCACTCTCTATCAACTTTAGGGGAAGGCAATGGCAAACCTCTTCTGAACAAATCTTGCCAAGAAAAAAAACACCTTAGGGTTTCCATAAGCCGGAAACAACTGAAGGCATACAATGACCATCACCACCAGGAGCCCAACAGGCAGGAGAAAGCAGTCTTTGTGGCAACAATGCAGAGGAAAGTAGTTGCAAATCTTTTTCAGTCAGAGTGACCAGATTTCCTCACTGAAAGGAGGACAAGGCATTGTAAAATGTAGGACATTTGAGGAAAAATGGAGGGCATAACCAAAGAAAAGCTAAAAATATTCATATAAATAGAAATTCATGCTTCTTAGTTATGCTCAAAGTTCATGGTGAAAGTTCCTCCTGGACAGAAGGTTAAAAGGTAGGACATATTCTAGAAAAGGAGGATGTCTGGTCACCCTGCTCCCAGGGGGTGTGTTGGCCTGGCTCTTCCTCACAGGAAGGTTCATTCTTTTTTTTCTCCTTTAGGTTTGCCCCAAAGAAACATCATTAAGGTTGGGGCTCTTTGCTCTGTGCACAAGAAACCTGTAAAACAAGCACATGCCTTAAACATAAAATGAATAACTAAAGACCGCTTTTACTTTATCATGGACCCAGATCTCTACCTCTGCTTTTTCTCCCTGCCAACCATAATTTCCAGCCTTCCATTTTGTGGCTGGAGTACTTCATCTTGCACAAGATAATGTGTGTTGTATGTCTATTACAACTCATATACTGGCCCCTGATGGCTTTTTCCAGCCTCATCCTTCACAGCACTCTTTGCTTTTCATTATTCACCATCTTGTCTCAAAACAGAGGGAGCAGGCACTAGAGAGGCCTGAATTAACCTTAAATTAGTTTTTAGTTGCCATGTAGCAAATTCATTTGACTGATTTTGTATCCTGTCTGCACATTTATTAATGGAGGAGCGAACCTAAGACTTCATGGTATGAGAAAGGAATCTGGTGAATCATTAACCAAGCCTTTCTTACAGCTAATTCTCTTTTTGAGGAAATGTTCCTATATTTCTTGACACATATTTTACACAAAACTGGAAAAATCGTTCTTAACAATTCATTTCCAGGTAGTTTTTGGAATCGCTTGACAAAATGCATGCTGAATATGTATAGGAGGACAGGGATATATTTCATTGTTTCAGTATCCAGATGTGATATGACTTTTATTCAGAAATAAATGTCAAAAGAAGTTTAATCAAAGTCAGACAATGAAATCCCACCCTGAAAACAACATGAAATGTAACATTGCACAAAAGTATTGACAGTGTAACTCTGGTAGTACAACATCATACTGGGGAGGTGTCTATGTAGGAGGGATGAACAGACATACACTACAAACCTAATAATGCTGCAAGAAGTATCCGAAATATAGCTTGCTTACAGACTGTACAAAAGTTGTTATAAATACTTCACATCTAGAAAAAATATGTCCCACCTTTGAAATAGACTTTTCCCTTACATATATAAACAAACAGCCTTGTAGGGGGGAAAAGCCCTCCACAAATGGGTTTGCTAGCACCAATCATTTTCTTGTTAAAAAAATTTAAGTGTAAATTTCAAATCTAAATTGAATTTTAGTCCATGATTCCCAGATTAATAGAGTTATGGTAAAAATCAGATCAGAGTTGAATCAACACAGTAGGTAATTATGATGGAGAGCTGATAAATGGGAAAAAGAATATCCTTCTGAGGTTTTGCCCAAATAACTTTTAACAAAAGCATAAGCTCACTGAGAATCTTGGTTTCAAAATTGCACTAAGATATTTTAAAAAGTATGTTGTACAATGTGGTCCAATGAAATTCATTATAGACAATTTGGCAAGTTCAAATTTGCATTAAAGCAGTATTTCTACACACAGTTTTAAGACTAAAAAGTTTATAAATCTTTATTTTACAACAAAAAGGTCACTAAATTTGTTAATATTAACATCAATGTTTACAGTTAGTAAACTGCCATTTCAAGAGCATGGCACTAATTAGTATTTATTGCTGTCACGTTTTTCTACAAATATAATTATCTTTCCCCTCAACCCCAAAGAACATTTTACAACTTCTGTACAAATATTCTTAAAAGTGCAAAATTAAGACTATTCTTTTTAAGTAACCCGAGTTATGGTAACTATTTAAGTTTCAGTCTTTCTGTTACAATTACTCCCTCTTTATTGCTCGATATGACTATATCTAAATATATCATATTATGAGTCTTAACAACTTGCTTGGGAAATTTTGAATGGCTCTTCCTTTTTTTTTTTTTAAGTTCTCTTCTTCCTTAAGTGCTCAATTTAGTGTCCATTGCAATGGCGAGTGTCTCTTTATTCATACATCATTTTAGCCTTGGCTTGCACAAGATGAGAAGCTATCATATAAAGAGTCACTCAAGGATTCCAAGTGGTCTGCACCAGTTCTATCAGAACGGTTTAGAGAAACTTCTGCATTCTTCTCATTTTCTTCTTCTTTTTGCCCTTCAACAACATGCAGATTGTTCTTCTCTTTTCCCAAGAAAATGCTTCTGCTGCTGTTAAATGTGTTGAGAGACTCCAGGGAAATTTTAGATAACCTCTTTCCAGAATCTTCCTCTTTCTCCTCAGGTTGCTTCAATTTCTGAAACAAATTACAGAAGGAGGGGGCAAGAAATTAGAAATGCCAGTTCTTGCAAAAATAACAACAACAACAACAACGTTATTTGAGCTGTAAATAGTCAATTATGATCACTGGTAACTGTAGAAAAGGAACTGCTAGTTAAATACTTTGGGGCTTAATTCCTTTCCACATACACACCCTCAAAATTAAATGCCACAATAAAGTCCATTTTGGGATAAATCACAGCTTTAATGATTCTGCTCAGGCAAATAGGACTCAATCTGCAAAACAGTTAAGTGCCATTTACATTTTAAGCAGTTAATATTGGAATTTGTATGTGTGAAGTATCTTCAGCATCACATAATTTACATTTTCCATTCTTCTTAAGGAATGATTTTTAAGGACAATTGGATATTCATCAGACTCTATTATTTATTTCATTTGGATTTCACCGCACCCTATCTTGAAAGCTTGTGGGACCAGTCACAGTGGTTGTACTGCATACAATTCAGAAGAAGATAAAATACAGTTAAAATAGGGCATGTTTAAACCATGTCAAATGCAAGTAAAAGACCAAGTCCTATTGATTTCAATGGATGGGATCAAAACTGAAGTGCACCCATCTAGGCTGGCTTGCCCTAGTTGATCCTGCTTAATGAAGAGGATTCTATGTGATTTCCTTTCCCCTTGTACCATAGCTGGTATCCATGGCGGGGTCCTGGGATTTAATCCCAGTCCATGTATTTTAGTAAAGACTGAAGCCATAAAGTAATGTTTGATTGCAGAATTTCACACAGAACTAGACCTACGCCTATGGAGCTGGCATTCTGTTAGTGGCATACACATGTGTAGGGACGTTATCACATGGGGGAAATCTGTTGGTTAATCCACACAA